ATAAAACTTAAGCATTATAAAAATACAAAGAGAGAAAGCAAGAGCATGATCTTGATTTGAAAACCAAAATGCCTATATATATGGAAAATACCTTCTTTTATAGGCCAAAATTGGAAACTATTGATTTGATGACTAATTGATGAGTAGGTGGTCACTCTTGACTTGGTGACAATCCTTATCTTCTCTTGTTTGCCTAAAATGTCATTGATAACATCAAAATTGGAGCCACTTGAAAACATAAAAGTTGTTGGAAATTATCTCAACTTTCTTGTGTAAAACATTAAGGTTATTTAGACTTCCAGAACTCCATATATGGGTCAAACACTGAACAATATTCGGGTTGGAGGACAGATTCAGACTTCTTTGTTGTCGCTACAATTTGAACTTAAAAATGGACGGTTTAAGTCTTGGGCTCCATATAAAAGTTGTAGGCCTATGTCTTACCTTTCCATCCATATAAAATAGACTTAAATCCAAGATCTACAACTCTATATATGATCCAATTACCGAATAGTGTTCCGGTTTGGCATACACCGATATCTCTTTTCTAAGTTTGGTCATCTCTTTGTCCTTTCAATTTCAATTCTTATATTCATCAATCAATCCTTTCATTTATGTGATAGGCCTGCATTTAAAATAAACATTTACCATAAATTAAAGGTATCTTATATTATTAGATATGTTATTATAAAACATGCTTTAGTTAAGAAGTTATTGCTACTTTAAATGCAAAATAATGATAAAAAATCTTGATAAAAAATACAATTTTAAGTACTAATCAATCATCCTTGGAATGTCTCTTATTGCATAAGCTCCTTATAAGATGGCTCTAGCAGAATTAGCATAGCTGAAGATACAACTACAAGATTTATTAGAGAAAGGATTTATAAGGCCTAGTAATTCTCTATAGGGGGCTCTCGTGCTTATTATGAAGAAGAAAGATAGGTCCCTTTAACTTTGCATTGATTCTAGAAAGTTAAATAGGATAATGGTGAAAAATAGATACTTGTTATTGCAGAAAGATGATTTGTTTGATTAACTGAAGGGAGTTAGGTTGTTTTTTATAATAGACTTAAAATCTAGGTATTACAAGCTACGAATAAAAGAGCGGGATGTCCCAAAGACTAGTTTTAGGACTCGATATAAGCACTATTAATTCTTAATAATGCGATTTGGGTTACATAATGCTCTAGTGGTGTTTATAGACTTGATGAACTAAATTTTCTAGCCCTGTTTAGATAAATACATGGTGGTGCTCATAAATGGTATTTTGGTCCATTTTAGCTCTACTCTAAAACACGAACAATACTTAAAAAATGTACTACAAACTTTAAGAAATCACTAATTGAATATAAAACTGAGTTTAGGCTAAAAGATGTGATCTTTCTAGGAGATATCATTTTAGTAGAAGGTATTTGAGTGGATTTAAAAAAAGTGAAAGTTGTACTGAATTGGAAGAAACTCTTGAATGTGACTGAAATTTAGATTTTTTTTGGCTAGATGGCTTTTATCAATGATTTATAAAAGGATCCTCCACTATTGCAACTTCTTTGATATTGTTGGCTTGAAAAGAGGTGAGGTTTGAATAGTCTAAAGAATATGAAGAAATTTTACAATAATTAAATAAGAAACATACTACATCTTCTATTTTGACACTTCCATCTGGAATGAGAGGATTTATAGTTTATAGTGATGTTTCAAAGAAGATATTGAGATGTTTTTTAATGTAACATGGACAAGTCATTGCTTATGCATAAAGACAACTGAAACCATATAAGTCTAATTATCCAATCCACAAGAAATTAGTAGTTGTGGTATTTGCTTTAAGAATGTGGAGACATTACTTGTACGGGTTGCAAGTTCAGATTTTTACTAACCATCAGAGTTTAAAGTATCTTGTATCATAAAAAAATTTTAAAAATAAGAAAAATAAGATGGATAAAGATTATCAAAGATTACAAATGTGTAATAGACCATTACCATGAAAAAACAAATGTGGTAATGAATGATTTGAGTATAAATAATCAAGTAATATTAGGAAATTCTAGAATAAAACACAAGAGGGAGATAATAGAGTTAAAAAGGCTAGGTACTTAAATGGTAGTGGCACCAAAAAGGTTATTATTTACACAGTTAAAGATATAACTGATATATTAAAAAAGGATATTCAAGGCTTGGCATAAGGATTCAGCAATAGAAATGTTAAGAAACAAGATGAAGATGAGCATAAAAACACGATTTTAAATCTAAGAAGATGAACTAGTAATGATGGGGAAACATATGTATTTGCTTAAAGATAATGTCGCTAAGAATAAGAATTTAGCAGAAGTACATGAATCTATGTTCTTGTCCACCCTAGTAGTACTAAAATGTATCAGTACTTAATAAAGTTTTATTTGTGGCTAGACATGAAAAAAGTGCAGATTTTATAGCAAAATCTAATGTATGTCAACAAATAAAAATTTAACATCAAAGACCTGTAAGGCTACTACAATCATTATCAATACCTCAATGGAAATGGGAGGATATTGCAATGGATTTTGTTATGAGATTACCCTGAGGGGGGAAAAATGAAATGATGTTATATTGGTAATAGTTGATAGACTAACCAATTCAACCTTATTCTTACCTATAAAGATGACGAATCTAATGGATAAATTGAAAAAGTTATATATGAATGAAGTGGTAGAATTACATAGGGTGTCAATGATCATTTTTTTAGTTTAAAACCTCAAGTTTACTTTATATTTTTGGCCTAGTATCCAGCATTTTCCAAGAACCAGTTTAACTTGTGTACTGCTTTCGATCCACAGATGGATGGACAACTAAAAAAAATAATCCAGACACTTAAAGATGTATTAA